GGGTTAGTCTTCAAACCGGATATAATACTGTAGTCGATGACGTACACCTGATTATAACCTAGTCGGCTGGTTATAACCTAGTCTGGTGGTTATAACCGAGTCAGTTGGTATAGCGAAAAACGTATGGGACCCCAAATAGGGGTGCGCGCATATATATATATATACACATGTTTAGATTTGTGTATGTGTTTATGTACTTTTATATTCATCCTCACACACACACACATATATATATATATATACATACATACATACACACACACGACGCATGTCTATTGATATACCGGCACCTTTGCATTGTATGTTTCTGTGGTTTTACTTACATGTATACAGAAAGAGTGTACATGAGCCCTTGGAGCCTGAGGGCTAGACGATTCTAGACTGTAGCACCCAACCACGATGACCCATTGTGTAGGTTTTTTGGTTATCAACCCTTAGAATGATGAGTTTATTGGGACTCTACAAAAGTAGGGTTTCGTAGTGTAAGGTAGCTTCTTTCTCCTCAGGGTCGGGCCAAGGTGTGAGTAAGAGCGGCGCGGCGCCAGCCGTCGCAACTTGGCAGACTTGAACTCTTTCGTTTAGGGTTAGGTTTGGGGTTTGGGTTTAAGGGCTACCGGTTTAGGGGTTTCGGGTTTGAAGCTTTTAGGGCTTGGGGTTTAGGGTCAGGTTCAAAAATCATCCACCATAAGTAAGAAGGCTACTACATGGGCACGAGTCCGTGAATACATTTTCAAAACAGTCAAGGTCAAGGTATATGGGAATTTCCGAGAGTTAGGGGTACCTTCTTTGGGGGTCCTGATAAGAGGGATCCTACCATTTAGGGTACTATATTACGGTCCCCCATTTTCGGAAACCCCCATATCCTTGAATCCCATCAAGGTTTTAGCGATGCCTCTGGCGTTCAAGATATTTTGCTCGGTCATGGAGTCTCTGATGGGCACCTCCCTAGAGTTCAGGGCTGGTTCTGGACGCCTGCTGTCTCGGGCTTTGGGGCCTAAACCCTCAACCTGAAATCTCTAATCCCCAAATCCCAAACCCTGAAAATTCACTTTTTTGGACTATGAAGCAACCAAGGAAACAACAAATTACACGTTCATTTCACCCTGGCTCCTTTAAGGAACGGGTACGCAACAATATTCTAGTATGGTGCTTCAGAACCTTCACTGCCAGTTCGAGACTATAAACTCTGCGTTTCGAGCATCTGGGGCTCGGCGGGTTGTGTTTTAGGGTCAAAGTGTCGTGCCGCGTCTGAGTCAGGTTGAGGGGTTGGTTAAAGTTTGGGGTTTCGGTTTGGGTTTAGGACTTTAGATTTCGGGTTTAGGGCAGTCCTGATTCCTGAACACCCTGGCATTAAAAGTGCATTTCTTTCTGCAAGACCCGGCCGAAAACAAAGCCCAATCAGCCAATCAGTTGTACCTTTCGCAAAGGCCTTGTAAGAACGTGTATTGAAAACCCACGTGCAAAAACCCGTGCTCCCTTTCTACCAGAAGCCTCGAACCGCAAATCCAAGAACCCGAAACCCTAAACTCAAAGGGGAAAAGGAGGGACCCTTGATGAGGACCCCTAGCCTATCATGGACCATATAATGGGTATATAATAGCTATATTAAGGGTATATACCTAGGGGTCCTTATTAAGGGTCCCTCCATTTGCCCTTGAAAAACCCTAAACGCTCACCACAAAACGTCGGGCCTGCTCCCTGGTAGTCCGGCCTGCGAAGCATGAAGCAAAGCACCCGCGTCGTGGGCCGTGGTCGTTTGCATGACGGTGGCACTTCGTATAACCAGAAAACCAGCTAAGATCAACCAGTCGATATGCATATTTGGAAATGTGCGTAGGCGTACACACATGCATAGATACATACAGATATGCATGTATGTATGTATATACATATAACATACACATGCGTATATGCATATATACATATACATATATACATACAGATATACCTACATATGTATCTATGCATGTGTGTGTGTGCAAGATTGCTCTGGAGTTCGAATTAATATCGAACTGCGAAGGGTGTGAGGGCCTAAAGTGCCTAAAGCGACAGCAGAGCCTGCCTGGAATCTCTCTGCGCCTGCCTTACCCATAGTCTCCACTGTAGCTCCTTGTTTGGGTTATCGTTTCGGATCCTCAATATCAACTCGGTTACAACCGAAACAGGAGCTACAATGGAGACTGTAGGTACGGTGCTGAAGGTCGCGGCACGCATGTGCACGCACACACGCACAGACACAAACATAGACACACACAGACACACACACAAAGACATACATACTCAAACCCGAAACCGTAATACCCGACAAAATGCGCGAGGGGAATAGTCAGGGCGGGTCGTGCGGGTCGTGTGTATTGCCAGGCTTTCGAGCTGACTGCGAGAATAGTTGCTACTAGTGATTATTAGCAGTATTATCATTATTGTTGTGGTTTCCGTTATTGATATTACAAGTCTTGTTGCATTAGTAAAGATAGAACCCACCCCCACGTTTGCCCACACTTATACAGTATGTTTGCTTCTGCCCACTGTTGTCGCTGCTTTGAGTGCTACAGCTGCTACAATGCATACACCTCCTGAAGGACGACATGGCTAAAATGGTTTTAGGATCACATACCATATAGGGATTCATAGAATGAGGGTACAGGGCCCCTACTAATAAGGGTCATCTGGGAGTTTCCGAGTGTTGGGGCTACCGTAATTTCGGGGTCCTCATAATAAGGATCCTACTATTTAGGGTACTATATTAGGGTCCCCGATTTTCGGAAACTCCCATGACTCCCTTATAGTACCCTGAAAGAAACCCTTATAGGCCCCTTTAACGGACCCCCTGTAACTCCGATTTGGTCTTCAAGGCTAGCAGCAGGCCTGAAGCTGGTTGTGTCCGGCTGGAACCTTCAGCGCGAGTCAGAGCCCAACACCGTCTTCCCAAAGGGTCCAAAGTACCTACCCCCTAAGGCCCCAAAGTAGTTCCTTTTGGGGTTTACCTCATAGGATTCTAAATATGAACCCCCAACAGGAACTACTTTGAGGCCTTAGGGTATATGCTAGAATGCAGGGTTTCTATACTGGGAATCCTTATTTTCGTTTGGGAGAGTATACCCCACCTTCAGCACGCATCAGTCGGTGTCGGGGTTACCAGCGAGTCGGTTCGCACCAGCTTGGGGCTTATGCTTTCGTGTGCGAGGTTCAGGGTTTTAAAACAAAAAACAAAGAAACAAGCAGGTTACCAGAAGGGCTTTACATAGCGCTCCAACTACCGAAGTGGTAGGTTACTATAGCCATGGAGTACTACAAAGCTCGGAGCACGAAGCCATCGACATTGAGAAGGAATCGCCGGGGCCATCTCGATCTAACTACTTCTGCAGGCCGTTAATAGTTTTTATACAGGGGACATTCCAAGGTCGTGGAAGATGCACCCGCTGCAACGTGCAGCAAAGCATGACAAGCCACGAGAAGCATCCCAGAATCTTACACAATCGCCATCCGGAAAGATCATCCGAAGTGCCTCACGCGTAGCAGAAGCCAACACTGTCTTGAGAAAGAACGATGGTCGGATTCGACTCCGGAAGCCAGAGCTGCGGGAACGAACTTGCGGTCTGAGCCTGGTGGCGAGGATTATGATGATGGCATTACCCAGGGATATACCCAGGCACCCTGGACCAATCACGATCTACAATGCATCAAATCTGCTAGTAGAGTGGCTAAAGACTTCACAGATCTCACTGCCGTGTTTAGGCTTTGCTTAGGGCTGCAATTAGAGGGCTTGAACCCCTCAGCCTCTGAACACGGACTCTGCCAGAGATGCCTAAGAATAATAATGCCCTTGCTGTCGCGACGAAGTCACCCACGGGGGGTTGTGCGCGCGCTCACTCACAGTCACTCATGTCAACCTGTTGCGGCATCGCTGACAATTTGATGCAGGCTTGGCTGCAGGAGCAAGGCTCGTGCCCGCCTCTTGTCGTCCTGAGCTTGAGCTGCTCGGTGTGCTGCCCCCAGTTCAAGAAGGCCTGCTGGTAGATGCCAGTCAGAACTTGCTCCTGCCGTGGATGGCTCACCCACCCACACCCCCTGGCTGCAGCAGAGGGAGCTTGCTCCTGGAAAATTCGCAGCGACGCGCGCTCCAGCGCCCAGGCCACAGGAATGGATTGAGGGGTTGAGCTGATTCTTGTTGTTGACAGTCAACTTGGCAAAGCCATCTTAGCAAAACCGAAACCCTAAGCCCTGAGCCCTAAACCCAAGCCGATTCTGAGGCACCAGCACGACAATCCCAGTTGGATCGCATTGCGTCTCCTGGTTGACCCACCAGAAATGTCCCTGACCAGGCGAGAAGGATGAGGATCAAAGAACAAGGTACTGTAGGAGCCTGCTTAAGAAACCTTGGGCCTTTATTCGGGTTCCTTATATGGGTAGTTTCAAAATAGGGGTCCTTTTTGGGTACCCTAAATAATAGGTGCCGTATTACATAAGGGGCCCAAAAAGGGACCATAATTTTGACAACCACCCATATGTAACTCTAAACCCTAAACCCTTTATAGAACCCTGAAAGATCCCTTTAAGGAACCTGCAACACGCATGCTCAGATGTTCACGATTGGAGGTGTTTTCCGATGCTTTAGGCACAAGCCTGAAGGGCCCTTCTTTTAGGCTGACTCGTCTGTGAGCCACGGCGGAGCGCTCGGTGCGCTTGAGGAAAACAGAGCAGTGCGCTCTTCAGAGTCTGCGAGTGAAGTATCTGTTCTTATCAGTGTGACAACAGCGAGCCCAATCACTGCTACCGTGCAGCACCCGCTGCATTGGTAGCGGAGCATAGCTCCTGCTGACCTTTGGGTGGACCTCGAAGAGGCCGACGCCTACTGCAGAACAGAAGCTGGCAGTGAGTACGAGAGACTGGTTGGCCAACTGTAGAAGATCACGATCATCCTGCCAACGAGTCGCCCGCTGGTCGTCAGCGGTTTTCTCCTCTTTTACAAGTTTTGTGTGAGACCCTTTTTCCTTGACGTCATGACGGACAATCGTGATTCCGTGTCTGTTCCGAGCTGGGACGGTGCAGCGAGAGGCTGGCGCCGCTATACTCGGGAAGTGTCCTGGTGGGTACAAGCCACACCCATCGGGAAGAGGCGCTACTGTGCCTCGAAGCTGATAAGCAAGCTGACGGGACCAGCGAGGCTGTTGGCGATGAGCTGGTCAGTTTCGAAAGGCACCTTTGATGATCCAGATGGCACTCGCCTACTGCTGCAGCGGCTCTCGGCCTCGCCCTTGGTGCGTAAGACCTTGCCGAATGCCGCAGCGATCTGTCAGCAGTACTTCTCATTTAAGAGAAGCCCTCAGGAGTCCATCGGGAACTTCCTTGTCCGGGAGACCTTGGTCCACGAGGAGTTTGTGGAGGCGATCATCAGGTTGCACGAGGAGAAGCTTGGGATCTCTCAAGAGCAGAGAGACTTCGGGCTACCGGACTCCGTCGAGGAGGAGACGTGGCTGCCTTGGTGGGAGTGGCCTGCCGAGGCCGATGATGAAGGACCAGGAAGCCCTCCGGATGATGGTGCTACAGCAGATGCCGGGACTACTACGACTCCTACCGCGGCAGCACCCACGAGGGCAACCCCGGGATCCTCACCGAGCCACCGTGGAGATGGAGCAGCTGAAGCGGTGGACGAGAAGAAATCCTCCGTCGCCGATGGTGCCATCGACGAGCTCTCGGTGGCGGACAGCTTTATAATGGGCGTCTTGAGAGGCTGGCGCCTGCTCCAGGCGGCAGGCCTCACGGCGGAGGAGAAGCGGGACATCTTGTCGACGACGAAGAACAGCCTGGACTACGACACCGTCGCCTCTGCGCTTCAGAGCCTGTGGGACGAACAGCTCCTTGGACACCGCGGGACCTCGGGGACCTCCGGTTTCCACTTGAACCATGTTGGCCAGGAGGACCACCACGATGGCTACTACGGCCACCTTGATGAGGGCGAGGACTGGAGTTGGAACCAGCCTGAGGATGACGGTTGGTACGACACCTACTACTCCCACGAGGACCCTTCGTGGTGGGGCTGGGATGAAGATGGACATGTGGAACCTTCGAACAATCTCGCGGAGGCCGAGACCGAGGACCCAGCGCTCAAGGAGGCCCAACAGGCCGAACAGGTGGCGGAAGCGCTGGCCATGGAGGCCCAACGCACTTGGAGTCAAGCGCAGAAGGCCACACAGGCCTTGAGGAAGGATCGCGGATTTGGAGCCGTCACCGGACGGCCACAACCCAACGATGGACGATGCTTCTCGTGCGGAGGACCACATCTTCTACGTGACTGTCCGGACCTACGGTTTCGCAAGGGCAAGGGCAAAAAGGGCTACTGGAGCGAGATCGACGACTACTACGCCAACTACACGGGCTTCGGCAAGTCCAAGGGGAAAGGAAAGAGCAAGAAGGGGCACTGGATGGATGTCCAGGGTCTGTGGAAGGGAAAGGGCAAGGGACCCAAGGGGAAGACCAAGGACGGCTACCGCACCGTCAACGCCTACTCCTCAGAGATGTTCCTTGGTGGCCTTGAGGTGATACACAATATGGACCTGGCCGCATCGTCGATCCCTACTACCTCTTCCACGGAGCCGCAGCTTGGAATGCTAGACTGCGGAGCGACCGCATCCGCGGCACCAGAAGCTGTGGTCAAAGGCCTCATCAGCTCAGTTCTTTCGATTGACCGAGGAGCCCGCATCGACATCGATCAATACTCTCAGCCCTTCTTCAGGTTTGGTAATGGTAAGTGGGGAAAAGCACTGTGTCGAGTTCATATCAGCAGTACATCCTCAGGTCGTGAACGACAATTCTCGTTGTACACGTTACCGAACCCTGCTGAGTACTTTCAGAGCAAGCTGGATAAAGCATCTTTGGTTCCCGTGTTGATCGGCATGGACTTCTTGGGACCCAGAGGCCAAGGCATGATGATTGACTTCAACACAGGCCTCGCGATGTTTACAAAAACCAGCGAACCTCGACCTCCAGTACAACAACTCCAGATGACCTCAAAAGGGCACTACGTTCTCAACCTTGCCACGTACCTAACTGGAGGTAGGGAAAGCCCGGGACACCCTCAAGTAGTTGTACGAAAGAAAACTACCTTCAGCCCCGATGTAGACTACAAGTTCCTCGAATTAGGGACCGTGTACTTCGACATGTCTGCCAGTGACCATGTGATGCCGATCATGACTGCTGTGTCATCTGATTCCATGTCTGAGTCGCTTGCAAACATGTACCGGCTGCTTGATCACTCCCGACAACTTGCGTCTACGTCGGCCACAGCTACTTCAGCTCAGATGACAGGACCCAGTCCTTCGACAACCCCCGCAACATCTCCTTCTCGATCCCCTCAAGGTCATGTCGAGCCCGCGTGTGCCGACCACCCAAGAGGAAATCTTCGTGGCCGAGATCAAGCAGAAGACCCCGAAGGCCAAGGCCAAGGCGCTACCCCTCGACTATGCTCGCCGCGTCAAGGGGGACAATCGCGACCCTCGTGCGTCAAGCAGTCAATGGCCGTGCTTCAACCGGCATGTGGCCGACTACCCGAAGGCAAATGCTCACGGTCGCTGGACCCACTGCTGCGTGTGCAATCTTCGCCTGGAGTACGTTCCCCGCCAGGGGAGCCACGGCCAGACAACTCAGAACCAGAATCCGGCCATGGTCAAAAGGATGCTGACGCAGCTGGAACCTCTGATGGGGAAGACGAAGCCTACGGCAGCAATATGCTTGGCCATGCAGCGGAAGATCGACGCAGAGGAGCAGCTGATGCACATGATCAACGAGCAGAAGACCAACCCGACCTTCACGACGGCACCTGCTCCTCAGACGGGGAGTCCGGGAGAGTCCTCCAACAGCAGTTGGCAGATGACGGGCGACACGGAGGACACCAACCTGGCAATGGCGTACGAGGCCGACGGTTACCAGGGGCAACAGTGAAGTCGAGAGCACAACCTACACCCAACTTCATTGGGCGCAAGATCATGCAACTCTCGGCTATGCTAACGGCGGCTACCTCCAACCTACTGCTTGGACTCCATCTTCAGGACCTCGACGGCGTGTGGGAAATCGCGTGCTCACCCCACAGCTGGCTAAGCGAGGCATGCGGACAACATGGACTACGACCTCGGAGGATCAACTACCAGGAAGGGTACGACCTCTACGACAAGGAGACCTGGCAACGACTACGCGATCTCTACAAAACCAAGCGCCCGAAGAGGCTCTGGTTTTCGTTGCCGTGTACGAAGTGGTGTCCATGGACTTCTGTCAACTACAACACTGCGGAGAAGCGAGTTGTGCTCGAGACCGCACGGCGTAAGGAACGACGGATGCTTTGGGAAGCCAACTCCTTCATCAAGTATGTCATGGAGCTGGAGGAGGAGGCGAAGATCTACTTCGAATGGCCGCATCCATGCAATGGTTGGAAACAGCAGCCCCTGACGGACCTCGAGAAGTACATGGACCACATTGGTGACATGTGGTTAACGTGTCGCATTGATGGGTGCAACTACGGGATGAAGGATGAATCCAGCGGATCCTTCATTCATAAAAAATGGATGGTCAAGACCAACGACGAGAACTTCCACAGGAACTTTCGCGCCAAGGTATGCCCCGGCAACCATCAGCATGTTATCATCGAGGGCAGCCTTACTTCCCAGACCGCCTACTACCCTTGGAGGATGGTGCAAGCGATAGCCAGACACTGGCGAGATCAAATCACACCGCCTCGACATTTACGTCTTCTACAACAACAGATGATTGGAGAAGAACCCGTGGACGACAAGGGTAGCCAAGGACCACACTTCATGCACGACGAGCTGGAACCCGCCAATGAAGTCGAACTACATGATCTACGTGATGAACTACCACGGGAGATTTCGTTGGCTACGACACATGTTTCACAGGCCGCAGAGCACTTTGCTCTGACAGCCACCAACGCCAAGGACTACAAGTTCGAGACGCTTGAGCGGCTGATCATGACGATGAGACCTCAGGGTCTTTCAAATTCGAATGTGCACCAACGTGGCACACAGGCTGGTGTCAACAGCCTTCTTTTTGGAGCCTACTCCCACGGCAACTTCCGGGGGATCACGCGACGGACCATGACATCACCCTTGGCGGTCCGTTACATCAACGATTTCCTCAACCACCACAAACCTGCAGGAACCTGGTCAAGCTTCGTGATCAACTACGACTGTCAAACGCGACTACATTGCGACCACCACAATGCGAGGGATACCTACAACTACCTGGTTGGAACCGGATCCTACCACGGCGGTGGCCTGTGGCTACAAGGCCATCCACCTCAAGGACAACCAGTGGTTAAGCGCAAGGCGGAGCAAGGGCACATGGTTTCGGGACATGTGCTACCTACCAAGTACCGTGTGGTGACCTTCGATCCGTTTGTTCTACATGCCACCCAGGCTTGGACAGGAGTTCGCAACACCCTATCAGCCTTCACTACGAGGCTGGCGGACGGATTGTCAGATGGAGAAAAGAATCTCATGATGAAGATGGGCTTCCGCCTACCTTCACCAAAGCCAGCTGAGATTGCCGCAGTAGAACCTCGAGAAGCTCATGGAGAAGTCCCACAAGAACATCAAGAACCTCAAGAATCTCCTGGTGAAGTCCCACAAGAACCTCAAGAACCTCAAGAATCTCCTGGTGGTCCAGTATCAGTTAGTTTTGGCACAGAGTCTGAGGAGCTACAATCTGTCCCCCAAGCAGAACGACAAGCGTGGGAAGCTCGTGTGGCCAAATTCCACAAGGCAGCTGGTCATCCTACCAATCGGAACCTTGCCAGGATCATTGCCGACGCGGGACACCCCAAGTGGAAGTCAGAGCTTGCCCTTCACTTCCGATGTCCAGCGTGCGAAAGTCTACGCAAGGGAGGCGACAGCTCAGGTCAAGTACCGCCTGCCTCTACACACCAACAGTATGCAGCATGGCAGGCAGTAGCCGTTGACTCTGGCGAGTGGATCCCTCCTAAGAGCAAGGTGAAGGTGAAGTTTCTGGTCTTCATGGACGTGGCCACGAAGCTCAGGGTGATCCATCCACTGTTCACCTACGGCTTCCTTGAGATGCGAGCTGAGTCGGGTCAGGATCTTATCAGATCCTTCTCAGAGAGATGGCTTGGACTCTTCCCGAAGCCGAAGTACATGTTGCTCGACTCAGCAAAAAGCTTTACGTCCGAGATGGTTCACGACTTCCTCAGCGAGATCAATGTGACACCGCACTATGTGGCGGAGAAAGAAAGCTGGGCACATGGAGTGATTGAGTCTTCTATGGCGGACATCAAGTACACAGCCTCTGCGATCCACCTGGAAGACCTCTCCCAGGATCCCGTGGTGACTCTCCAACTCACGGCTTCCGCACTCAATGCTACGGAGACTACGGCAGGCTTTTCAGCCAACCAATGGGCATTCGGCTCCGAGTACTGCGTGACCGATGAGGATGTGCGGACCTACGAGACGATCGAGCCCCGCGTGGAGTTCACGAAACTGGTCACGGCCCGCGTCAAGGCCGAGGAGATAGCAAGGGCAAACCGGGGAAAGCGAGTACTTTCTCGACTGGCGAACACGACTGTCCGCCAACCTCTACGGACCTACGAACCTATGGATTTGGTCAAGGTGTGGCGCAAGGTTTGGCCTCAAGAACAACACAAGGGGCCACGCGGCGGATTCAAGAAATCTGGCCGACCACACTGGATCGGACCAGGCCGAGTGGTTTTTCACGAGATCCTGCCACATCAAGAAGCAGGTGATGATCGACGTCACATCGTGTGGGTGCTTGTTGGCAGTCAACTTCTACGTTGCTCAGTGCATTCGGTGAGACCTGCCACCGAGACCGAGAAGTTTGAGTTCGAGACGAGTCGCGTTGAGGACCCTACAAAGTGGAAAACATTGGCAGACATTCTGCCGAAACGCGAGTACCACGACCTCACTGATCAGGTACCTCGGGAAGGTGAACATGAACTACCTCCACTACCTCCTCAACCCGACTCCTCAACTACAGTTATCCCCAGAAGGCGAGCCGTCCGAAAGACCACCTTCCAGCCGGGCGACTACGTGGTGCCACAAGCTGTACAAGATCGACTACGACACGAAGAGATGGACGAAGATGACCCCAGCCATGAACCCGGACAATCGTCCACTCGAACGACCTCGACCACAAGGCCAGCCGGGTCCGAAGATGTGAATGCCTACGAACCCGAACCCAAACGACCTCGGGGTGATCCAAAGGAACTCACATGGGTCGACGCTCTCTACAAGGAGGCGGCGGAGCAAGACCAACACATGGACGTCCACGCCGCCATCCAGCAAGCCCCCGACTTTGAGGAGTTCCTCAAGATTGAGTTTGACCTGGGCGAATCCCTGTCCAACCGACAACGGAAGGCCTTGGAGAGGAACCCTATCCTCTACATGACCAAGAAGATGCGTGATTGTGAGGTTGTTCTGTCTAAGCTCAGCGATGCCGAAAGACAGTTGTTCACAAGAGCCAAGGCGAAGGAAGTCGATTCCTTCATCAAAAATGAAGCCGTCAGAGCTTGCTTGGACAAGCAAGAAATCAAAGATGCCTACACATCAGGGCGCATCATCCGCGCTCGCTGGGTGCTCACGTGGAAGCTGGTACCAACGGAGGAGCAGAATGAAGCGAAGCAAGACGCCATGAAGAATCCGAAAACCACGCACTCCAAGGACGGCAAGCGGAAGGCAAAGGCGAGGATTGTTCTTTTGGGATACCAACACCCCAGTCTCTTAGACTCCTCGTTCAAGACCGCCTCACCAGTCCAGTCCCTGATGGGACGGAACCTCCTGTACCTCATGAGTGCCCAACACCACTGGCCCTTGGAAGGCCTGGATTTGGCGACGGCTTTTCTACAGACTCAACCCACTGAGGCCGACAAGGACCTGTGGACCACCGGAGTGGAAGAGCTGAGAACCGCGTTGGGCATCGACGGCCCAGGCTTGATGAGAATCCTCAAGAACGTCTACGGCAGCACCACGGCCCCTCGAGGACTATGGTTGGATTTGCATAAGACTCTTACAAAGCTCGGAGGACAACCTGTTCTCGGAGAACGCTGTTTGTGGATATGGAAGTCAATGCATGAACTAGACAGAGGACTACCACGAGTCATTGGCGCCATGGGTGGACACGTGGATGACTTCCACAGACTCGGAGACAACGACTCCGAGGAATGGAGATCCATCAAGGCCCAGGTGGACGCCGCGTACAAGTGGGGGACCGCGAAGACTGGATCCTACCGACATGCCGGCACCGATGTGGTGACGACGAAGGACACCGACGGCAACCTCCAAGTCACCGTGGACCAGGACTACTACGTGGACGGCCTCCAGGATGTCAACATTGACGCAAGCCGACTCCGAGACAAAGGGGAGATGTCCAAGAGTGAGTTCGAAGCCTGTCGGACTTCGCTTGGAGCGCTACAGTGGCTTGCGATCCAGACGCAACCACAGTTGTGCTCTCGCTACAACCTCCTGCTGACGGAGCTCGTCACCTACAACGACCTCGAGACCGCCCGCGAGATCCAGTCCATGATCGGAGAGGTGCGACAGGAGCCCTTCCGGCTCCACTTCAGAAAGATCAAGGACGTGAAACACTGGACAGACATGGTGTTTGTTTCAATGGGAGATCAAGCTCACGGCAACCGCCCCAAGGGAGAATCCACAGGAGGACTTGTCACCTTGGCAGCAGGACCCTCCTGCATCAATGGTGCCATCAGTCCCATGGTGCTCCTGTCCTGGAGATCTTGGAAGCTGAAGAGGAAAGCTATAGGATCCAACGACGCGGAAGTACAATCAGTGCTTGAGGCTGAAGACAACAACTTCCGCATGAGGCTGTTGTGGAGCGAACTTCATGGAGCCTCTGGACTCAACGGACGGGAGCTACGCCACGATCTGGTGGAACAAGTGGAGAAC